AAGGCGGCGGGGAGGAGCCGAAGCAGAGGGACGCGCGCTCACGGCAGGTCGAGATCTCCTCTTCGGGGCCGGGGACGCAGGAAGAACTTAAAGGCCAATTTTCGAAAAAAGAAAAAAAGAAGAGGAAAAGCATTCAAGAGGGAAAAGAAAGAAGAACACGCCGCCACTTTTGTCCTGCTCCCTGGGTTTTGGTTTTTTTCTACAGCAAAAGGAACAAGGTTTTCACGGACGTCAGGCGGAGGAGCAGGTCTCAAAGCAGGGACGGGGAAGGGGAAGAAGTGGCGGCTGGAAGCGCGCAGGCCAGATGCTCGTTTGGGGCAGGGTTTCGCTGCCAGGGCCCGGCCGTGCACGGGGCAGCTAGCGCCGAGAGGAAGGGGCAGGCAAAACATGCAAACTGGAAGCGCGCAGGCCAGATGCTCGTTTGGGGCAGGGTTTCGCTGCCAGGGCCCGGCCGTGCACGGGGCAGCTAGCGCCGAGAGGAAGGGGCAGGCAAAACATGCAAACTGGAAACAAGCTGCAGAATAATTCAGCGTGCCCCCCAAAAATGCAAAAATTACAGGCCAGAAAATTATAATAAAAAAACAAATAACAAGCCAGCCTTGGATTTCTTTCTGCAAGAAAGAGACACTCCTACACACAAACAGCACATGAATATGGGTAATAGATATGGATATTTCAGAGAGCGAAAATGGTACTGACTGCGTTCTTATTGGATCAACATTCACGCATCTAGTCCACGTTTCTCTCAAGGAGCGAGGATAATGGGATGCCGAATGTCAGACCATTTTATATATATTTAAAACTCATTATACGCTTCATGACTAACCAGATTTCTACGGAAAGAGTTGCATTTTACAGAATGAGAGGGGAGGAAAAAAAAAAAAGCCCATCCGGGCTCACAGGGAGGAATTAGCAATGAAAGAGGGATGATTCGTCTGCTCCTTCGCAGGCCAGGAACGACAACTCCTCCTCCTCCTCGTGGCGAAGGCTGCGCGGCGTGCCAGGCTCCTCTTGGGGGCAAGCAGCCGGGGCCACCCAACCTGCCTTTTTGGCCACCAAGGGGAGGGAGATTTTCCTGCTCGAGAAATGGGAATTACCAGCAAAAGCAGAGTCTCCCGCCAGGGATTTCTCCTCTCTCCCAGGCTGAATTAATCCTAAAACTTCCCCCGCTTTGTTCGTTTGCAGCATTACACCTCGTTAGCTCCGTGTTTGAAGAGGACAAGGGGATCGCGCCCGGGTTTGGCGGCTCCTTGGGCATCTGCTGGCTGCTTCTCGGGAAGCGCCGGCTCTCTTCTCTTCTGCAACACTTCCACCTAATGGCAAAAGCGCCGAGGAGGAAAGCAAGCGGTGAGCTGCGAGGCTTCCCCCAGACGGGGCAGGCTGCTTTCCCCCGCGTCGCTAAGCAGAGGCCGGCACAGCTCAGTGCACTGTTGGCTCCAGCCTGCCTCAGAGCTGAGGCATGCAAAAACACCAGCAAAAGCTGCTCATTTTCACACGTGGGAGCCGTAACTTCTGTCCGCACATCGGCACAGGAGCGACGGAGCCGCCTCGCGTGGCCGGCTCA